GGTGGGGTTTTTAAATTTGTTGGTTCTCATGTATGAGGAGGAAGAATAAAGTGCACCTGAGAGAAACTGACTATGGATTATCAACACCGTAGAAATAATGCAGTTAGGTTCTGTATCTCCAGCCTATGGAATGCTGGGATTTGTAGTTTTCAAGGTCTTTAACCTTCTCTGCCAAAGAGTGATGCCACAACAAACTACACATCCTAAGATTTTGTAGGATGGAGCCATGGCAGCTAAAGTGCTGTCAAACTGCATTATTTCTACAGTGTAGATGTATCCAGAGATAACTGTTTTTATTTGTACAGATGCAAGCGTTTTATATACCAGTGTGTTTTATAGTATATCATTTCTGATAATTTAAGCCAACTTCATTTTACAATTAGATGGGCATAGAGAATTCAATTGTAACCAGATCACTCTTTTTCTGGTTTGTTTGGACCTCACCTGGAGAACTATCGCCAGTTCTGGGCATCCTCATTTCTCTGGAATGCATACATAGGATACATAGGAAGGTATGCGAATATGGTGACAAGCCTGACCAAGACTGCTGGGGATATTCAGTCCAGAGAAGAGAAGATCATGTGGAACACAAAGCAAGCTTGTTTTCTGCTCCGCTGCAGAGTAGGACCTGAAATAATAGATTCAAAGTGGAAGACATGAGATTCCTTTTAAACAGTAGGAAAGAATGTCCTACATGTAAGAGCTGTTCATCCATGGAATGCACTCCCTTAGAACATGAGAGATTCGCTTTGTGGATGGTTTTAAATAGCTGTTGGACAGCCATCTCTCATGAGTGCTTTAGTTCTTTGTTCCTTCATGGCGAGAGGGTTGAACTAGAGAGCCCTGTGGTTCCTCTCAATTTTGTCCTGCTGTAATACTTTGGGTAGAATCTTCATGGTGTCTTACACATGTGTAAGCCCTTCTATGGAAGTAGTTGGTATGATATGGAATGGCCATGTTCAGTTATTTATTTGTGTATTTGTGTGTTCAGTTATTTATTTGTGTATTTGTGTATAGAGTCCTGGAGTTGGAAGAGAACCCAAGGACCATCCAGTCCATCCCTTTTCTGCTACACAGAAGACACCATCCAAGCCCTCCCTGGGACAAATAGCCATCCAGCCTCTGTGAGAAAACCTCCCAAGAAGGATACTCCACCACCCTCCAAGGAACCAGTGTCTCCCACTGTTAAACAGCTCTTAACCATCAGAAAGTCTGCCCTAAGGTTTAAGTGGAACCTCTTTTCCTGTTGTTTGCATCCATTGCTCCATGTCCTATGTCCAAAACACACAGCAGAAATAATCCAGTTTGAGATTGCTTCAACTGCCCTGATGCCATGGCAGGGAAATCTGGGAACAGCAGTTCTGTAAGATATTTAGCCTTCTCTGTCAGAGAGCTCTGGTGCCAC